AATAATAATAATAATAATAATAATAATAAAAGAAATCCAACACCTAAACCACACATCTCATTTCTCTTTACGAATCCCCTGCACTCAACATGGCCACAAACTCCAAGTAATTAATTTTCCCTGTTCCCTCCGGGTCCACGGCGGCCAACAAGCGTGTCGCCTCCTCATGTGTGAGTTTCTCCGTCCCGTAGGAGACCAGCGCGTGCTCCAAGACCTCCGTGGCGACGCACCCCGGCGGCACATCGTCCGTTTCGAAGAGTTTGAACGCACTGCGGAGCTGCTCGAGTGTGTAGTCCGACCGCACCCGGCGGGCCATCACGGCAACAAACTCCTCAAATGTGATCCCGCCGCCACTACTCCCCGCAGTACTCGCCGTGGTGGCCACAACTCCAACACCGCCACTGGCGGCCCCGTTGCTGCTGGTGCTGTTGTTATTTTGGGCCACGGCGGTGTCGACGGCGGGCTCGTGGAACATTTGCTGCAATTCCTCTTCTGTTGGCCGCAGGCGGAGGGTTTCCATCAACTTGCGGAGTTCATTGCGGGTGATGCGGCCACTGTGGTTGGTGTCCACGAGATCAAACATCTCACGGAACTCCTCTAATTCCTTCGCACTGAGTGATTCCATTTGGTTCTCGTAACCTCTTTCTTTGTTTGTTCGTTTGTTTATTTTGTTTCTTCTTTTCCTTTTTTTTCTCTCTCTCTCTATATATATATCTCTAGAAACACGTATATATATATATAATGTATATTTAGTCAAGCTTTATCACCACCTCCTCACGGTTTTCTCCTTTAGCTCTATCGGCAGCTACTCTTTTTCGTGTAGGCATAAACAGAGAAACGAGACAAGTGTGCATACATCAATGTGTATGTGTGCAGAAATATAAGAAGAAGAAAAAATAAAATAAATAATGATAAAAGTCAGAGCAAATGAGTGCAGTAAGAGAAAGAAAAAAAAAAAGAGAGAATAAGATCCATTTATCCATCATTATTTCCAAAAAAAAAAAAAAAAAAAAAAAACACAAGAGGAAACAAAAAAGAAAGGAAAAGAAAATAAAGAAAAGAAACAATAAACATTTATGTATAATATGTTTTTATCCTTTCTTTTTTTTCTTTTCTTTTTTTTTCCTTTCTCACACATTTTATTGTGACACAACAGAAGCCAAATGTCGTACACGTCCCAACCAAGACATGTACTCTTCCTGTTCCAAGAAGAACTGCATTTGGCAGACGTACTCACAGAGCTCTGAAGAGATACCAAGATCTCCTTGTAAATACTCATGCAGGGCAACTATCATTTCCTTCGACAGTTCACTTACACATGGTCCATTATAACACAAAGCACGACTGTACTCTCCGCCAGAATCAAAGCAATTCACCAGCAGTTCATATCCATCACCGTATGATACGGCAGTTGAGGAAACATAATTATTATTAACATTATTATTATTATCACTATTATTATTATTATTAGCGGCAGCAACAGCAGCAATACTAGAGGTGGCTTCAATACCATCTCTTCTTGCCTTTACTTCTTCTGAGTGAGTGAGTGTGAGTGGATCATCATAGCGGCGTACAGACCGCAGAGGACGTGTTGTGTTGTTTGGCTGGCGGTAACTGTGCAGTAGTTCGAGAAATATTGGTTCACCTTTTCCAAAACAAACATGTTCTTCTAATGATTGTGCCTGACGACGTGAAAGTAACTGCACAGAGCGAATTCGCATTTCACTGTCTACACTGGCAAGACGCACAAACAAACAAAGTCCACTTTCTTCAACTAAATGGGCCATAGACTCCAGAGGATTTTCCGCGACCCTACTTCCATCATCCTTATTACTATTACCATTACTACTCCCACTATTAGTATTACTGTTCATGTTTTTCCTGTTCCTATTCTTGACTACAGTCTTTCGAACAAGTAAATCAAAGGAGGACCATTCACAAATGCTTACCGTGGGATCATGTGAAGAAGGATCATAAACGCGAAAAGGTGTAAATAACGTCAGATGCACATCTGCTCTTTTCACGCCTGATGGTTCTTCTGTATCCATCATATCTCGTAGTACCGCAGAACGTTTATTTCCTTTATCATATCCAACTGTCATTCTTGTAGAATTACTGTAGGATTTATTCGAATCACCTGCAGTACTATTTCCTGAGGGATATGTTGTTTGTGTAGTATCGTGTCGTTGTTTCCCTTCTCTCCCTTGTTTCTCTTTCATGGCCTGTAGAAAAACATCATGTACACTTTGATAACGCCGTGCATGCAATTCCGCAGACTTTACCCCACCCAACAGTGTATGAGTCATTACAAAATAATTCGATCCCGCTGGATGTTGGACTTTCCATCCTAATGGCGGTAGTGGAGGAATAGCGGCGGTGCCATCTCGACTATCCCGTTCAATCTCTGCCTTTATTTCTCTCTCGGCGGCATCCCGCAATGTAATTCCAATCGTACGTAATAATTCTTCCTTATCATCATCCTGTTGTTGTTGTTGTTGTTGTTCTTTTGTAGATTGATCTCTTGTGTTGGAATGAACGGCAATATTTTCCTCCTCTGCGGTGTGTTCTTCCTCGTGGAATATACACTTCTGCATATCCTTCTCATCTACACTAGATCTATGCTGATCTGTTGAGACGCGTCCATCACTTAGAGAACTGCAACCTCTCATCATCATCACCAGAGAAGGCAATCGTGATAGATTTCTTCGACTGTCACTATGGAGGGAAGTATAATGGTATCTTCGCAGTGTTGTATGTGTTTGCTGTTGGAGAAAACAACAGCCTCGGCGACATAAAGACATTAATAATAATAATAATAATAATAATAATAATAATAATAATAATAATAATAATTAATAATTATTATTAAAGAAGAATGAACCGTTCTGTAATATTTTTAATGAGGAAAAAAAAAAGGAAATGAAAACAGTTCCTTCTTAATTATGAGCAGCTTCCTAAAAGAAAAGAGAAAAAAAAAAAAAAAAAGAAAAGGAAAGATTCAATAAATTTACACCACGTAGTCTATATTGGCAGAAGAGTTGACATCTCCACCACCTTAGTAGCAGATATTACCACAAGAAGAAAGAAAGAAAGAAATAAATAAAAATAAATACTACACGAAACAAGGTATATATACACCAAACAACAAAAGTAAAAAAAAAAAAAAGTTGAAACAATGAAAGAAACTTTTTTTTCTTTTTCTTATCGTTGTTGCCCCTCTTTTTTTTTCTTTTTGTAAGTAAGTATTGTGTATATATCTCCGTTACCTTGTTCGCTATACGTTTCTTTACTTTCGTTCCTCTTTTTACATGAAAAGTAGAGCACGCCAGCGTACTCCTATAATAGTAGTAGTAGTAATAGTAGTAGTAGCATCAACATAATTTTCAACAGAAACTGGCACTAGAGTAAACCGCAATAGCAAACTCTAATCAACCACCAACCGCAAATCATCCTCACACTCACTCACACACACACACACACAGAGACATCTCTTCTTCTCAAAATCATTACATATAATATATATATATATATATATATATATAATGGACTTTCCGTTTCCTCTTCCCTCTCATCTCTCTAATCAAGTTTAAGGAAGAAGACGGTCACCAGACAGTGAAGGGAATCATTCTCAAACGGTACATGCACAACTCCATCCAGTGTGTTATCCCACAGACTAATAAAACCCGTGGAAATACCAGCGCCTGTGCGTTGCATGACCACACAATTGACAATATATTTAAATGGCTTTCGCAGCTCCGCGAGGTTCTTCAGCACAACCTCAATAACATCATCCACCCACGCATCCACTTTACGGGGATTCCACGACTCTTGGCCAAACTTGTGCCGCAAGACCCCCGCCACCTCCTCTTGAATCATATCGCTGTTAATAGCCACATCCTCGTGGGTCTCTTCGTGGTTTTCCGTCGCCATTGTGAAAATATCACTTGTGGGAGATCAACTTGTTTATTTCTATTTGTTTTCTTTTTCCTTCTTTTCCTTTTCTTTGCTGGATGGATCTGTTCCTGTTGTTGTTATTGTTGTTAGTGATGTCTTGCGTGCAATGAGTGAGGTATGTGGGTCTCTATTTTGTAATGTACACACTTCTAATGTTTATTGCAAAAAAAAAAAAAAATAAAATAAAATAAAAAAAAATAAATCCAAACCGTAAAGAAGAAAAGAAGAGAAAAAAGAATAAAAAGCAATACTTTAATATCAATATATAGTTATTTCTACACTTATTTACTTACTTACGTACTGTGTTTGCCTTTCCCCACACACACCCCACCACCCTTCGTACATATGTATATGTGTACGCCCACATCCACACACACACACACTTGCAGCAAGGGAAAAAAAAAAAAGAAAAAAACAGAAATGTCAATGAATAGCATATCACATTAAGTACACTCACTCTCTATCTCTGCAATAACCAAATAGAGTGAAAAACAAAAAGGACGCACATACAAAACTGAGTGACTGAGTGAATGAGTAAAATTTTAAAAAAGGTGCAAACATCAACAACAAAACAAAACAAAACAAAAGAAAAAAAAAAAGAGAGAGAGAGAATAAGATTCTCTCCCTCTCCCTCTCTCTCTCTCTCCCTCTTTCTTTCCTTCTCTCTCCCACAAACACTCACACACCTATCACCTTCTCTTTTCTCCCAATGTACAAAAGAAACATCAGATGAGTCATATTCGAAGGAAGTGCTTTCCAAACGTAAGCATAACTAACATTATATTTCTATCCCAACTGGATAGGAAAAAAAAAAAAAACAAAGAAAAAAAAAAAAAAAAAAAAAAAAAAAAAAGATGACATTGGAGAA